GGAAGAGGTTTATTATTTCAGACCGTCACGTAATGAAGTCACAGTGGCAGGAGCTCATGCACCTGGTCCATCACAGCCACAGTCAAGAACAGGGAGAAACGAGCCCACCCAGGTTGCCTGCTTGCTCTCTACCTTCCTCCTGTCTGGTAGTTCAGGACCACAGCCTAGGCCACGGGTGCTGCCTATAGTAGGCTGGGTCATCCTATATTAATTAATAATCTACAATCCACTACAGACATACTCAGAGACTAATCCAAAAAAGACAAATTACTCAACTCACTTTTCCCAGGTGGTTCTAAGTTGTGGCAAGTTGACATTCAGAACTAACCATCACAATTACCAAACACAGGACAGTTATTGTGAAATCAAAATAAGTTCAATGAAGCACTTGGTGCATAGTTGAGATTCTACAAAAGTATTGCTTTGTACCGATGAATAAGAGGTGGGTGGAGCACTAAGAGTACTTGAATGCAGGTCTCTCTGTTTAAGTGTTATCAGCCTTACCACTGTTAATTTTGCAAGTCAGTACCATTGAGTTTGTTGCATTAGCGTGCAGTCATTACCACCATCCATCTGAGAGATTGTTATCCACCTCTATGCACTTGCAACACAATACCCACCTGCCCAGCCCAGCCACCATTCTGCTTTCTGTTTCTATGTATTTGACAACTTTAGATACCCCATATAATGAATTCCTATAGTATGTCTTTTTATTGTTTTTGTTTTTTTGAGGAAGGGTTCTTCTGTAGCCCTGGCTGTCCTGAAACTCACTCTGTAGACCAGTCTAGCCTTGGACTCTGAGATCCACCTGCCTCTGCCTCCTGAGTGCTGGGATTAAAGGCATGCCTCACCATACCAGTCTTATAGTAGGTTTGTGTGTGTGTGTGTGTGTGTGTGTGTGTGTGTGATTTAGTTTACTTAGCACAGTGCCCTCAGGGTTTATCCATATTGAATGGATGTATACATGTATCAAAACTTCCTTTTTTATCCAGCCGGTGGTCACACCTTTAATCCCAGCACTCAGGAGGCAGAGACAGGTGAATCCCTGTGAGTTTGAGGTCAAGCCTGGTCTACAGAGCGAGCTCCAGGACAGGCTCCAAAGCTACAGAGAAACCCTGTCTCAAAAAAACAAAACAAAACAAAACAAAAGAAGCTTCCCTTTTAAGGCAAAATAGTCTATTTTATGGAATAGGACATTTTTTTATCCATTCATCTGGGGGTGGCCACTTGGGTTGCTTCTATTTTTTTGCCCATTGTGACTTGATGATATGAAAATGGATGTATAAATGTTTGAGTCTCTGCTTTTAGTTTTTGTGGAAATATACCCAGAAATTGAATTGTTGAGTCATATAGTAGTTCTGTTTTTGCTTTATGAGGAACTTCCATACAGTCAATATATCCAGAGGCCCATTTGATAGGGAAGTATAAGCAGTGGAGTTCCCCCACGGAATAATATGAAAACCAGCCTTGCATAACATTTTAAGTTGCCTAAATATGAAACTTTTGCTATTAAATTTTATAGAGATATATATTAATGTAGATATATATTAATGTATAATATGGGTAATATATATTGTATATAATTTAGAAAAGAGAGAAAGCTGGGAAGTCTTGTTAAGACTTAGTAAATGGGTATACTTACAGGGCTACTCCAAAATGTACTCCTTCCCCCAGGACAAAGGACAAATCCCAGTTATATGTGTTAGTGCCTTCTTTCTGGAGAAGAACTCCTTGTATCAAATGCATGGAAGCATGCAAACACATCTTTTCCTCAACTTCTTGGTACCATAGAACAAATTGAAACTTGACTTGAGACTGAAGGTCAGGGGTCTAAACTAAGACTCTGTCCCATGGGAGATTTTTAGCAATGTCTGAGGAGACCTTGGGTCATCCTAGCTGGAGGGGAACTATGGCAGCTAGTGTTCAGAGACCAGAAACATGCTACAGTATCCAGGAAAGCTCAACAAAGAATCGTCTCAGGCTGGAGAGATGGCTGAGTGGGTAATAGCACATAGTGTGCAAGCCTGAGGATGTGAGTTCAGCATGTCCATGTCAGGCAAGGTCACATGACCTACAACCCCAGCTCTGGAGGGTGGAGATGAGAGGATCTCTCCAGCTTGCTGGCTGCCTGCCTACTTCCAGCTTCAGTAAGAGAACCTGTCTCAAGGGAGTAAGCAGAGAGCAAACAATAGAGCAGCATACTTGGTGTCCTCTTCTAGCCTCTGAATGTAGACATACAGGCAGTCTCAGTACACACCATATCAAGGCTAGGGCACCTTGCTCAAACCCAAGCTACCTTCTCAGTCTTATCTTTAGTATCCCTCTTATATAAAGCTGCTGTCCCAGACAGGCCGGCCCATGAGCTTTGTAACCACCCCCCCTCACCCCCCTCCTGTAGCTGATTTGCTTTTCCCAGGGCCTTTTCTGGCCTCCTGTGGCCTGGTCCAATAGTTCTGTACTTGACAACACCTTCCTGGTTTGTCAGAAAGTCATTACACAAGTCTTGTTGGTATGATTTGGTTTGGAATTTGAAGTGCTTTGTTGGGCCTAGTGGTACAAGACCTATAATCCCAGCCAGCTGAGAAATGAGGCAGGATTGTGAGTCTAGGGCTATCCTGAACAGTTTAACAAGAATATTTCTCAGAAAGATGAGCCCAAGGGACATTGGTCAGCTGTGCTTGTCTAGTATGTACATAGCACTGGGCTGAGTTCCCATGGCTATAATCCAGTTATGGTGGCACATACCTGTAATCCTACTGCTTGGGAAGTAGAGGCAGGAAGATCAGAAGTTTGAAGTCAGTCTGAGATACATGAGTCAGAAAATAATTTTAAAGTTGAAAGAGGGGCTGGGAAAAATGCTTGCACAAGGCCCTAGGTTCAAGCCTCAGTACTGCAAAGGAATGGGAAGTGCCACCCTCTAGGCCCAGTGAGCACTTCTGTCTTCACCGCCAGGACTCTCCTGCTGTCTTGTACAGTGGCTGAATTGCCTCTGCTCCATTACAGCTGTGCTTCAAGATTTAGCTTTGCCCAGAGAACCACTGGATGGGTGGAGCCTGAGCCCAGTGTGAGCCTTGCACAAAGAAAATTTTATGTGGTTCTTATGGTGCTTGGATGGGGACCGTTTCCATAGCTGGGGATTGTTTCTCACTGCCCGCCAGTGTGATGGCAGCAAACGGGTGATAGGAAAACATCTCTTTTGTATGAGCCAGTGTGTCCAGGCAGCAGCCAAAGTGTTTATGTCTAGTCTTCCATCTAGTTATCTTACCCAGCCATTTACTCCTGTAGTTTTGGAGGGAAGCTGAAGCTTTGAGAAGATAATTTGCCAAAGACCACTTAGCTAACAACAGCAGGGCTAGACTTTAAACACCACCTGTCTGAGTTGAAAGCCTCAGCCATCACCTCACTGTCTTGAGGACACCAGTCCCTCTGCCATTGCTAATAGAAGACCACGAAGCCATAAACCAAAAGGCAGAGGCCCCTCGTGGTCTCACTAGTGAGGTAGCTGAGTGTGGATCTGCTCCCATAAGGACCAGTCCTCGGCAGCTCAGGAATTGAAGGGAGCTGAGTCGGTGGACTGACCTCAGTTGACTTTTCTATGTAGGGAGTGAAACTTAATACTATGGGGCTGGTGAAAAACACACCCACATCTCCAACACGGCAGGCTCTCACCTGGGGTGCTGATGAATGGCAAGCCTTCAGTAGCTCAGAGAACCTGAAGAGGAGATGCAGAGCAGATGAACTACTGGACAGACACACAGACACATGAGTATTTTTCTGAGGGACAAAATTTAGTTCTTCATTTTGCTTGTTCTGCTCTGCTCTGTTCTTCTACCCTGGTGTTTCCCTCCCATGTGCCTGTGTTTTTTTCTCCTACAGCTCATATACCCCAGCAAAATCTTTCAGCAATATAAAAATTACAACATGTTTGCATTCTGTTTTTTAAAGTGAATGATTACAATGAATATAAGTAAAAAAAAACAACATGTTTCCATTTCCCTTTCATGAGTAAATATTTTGTATATCACAGGTGAAAACCTAATTATCCCCAAGAACGCACACTCAGCTTAGTGTTCCCCGTTTAGACGTCTCTAGATCAGAGCGTTTCAGCCATAGCCGTTTACACAGGCTGCAGTTTTTATAATTGCCGACAACAGACTATTTGTTTTGCTGTTCATTTTAGAATGCTGTTGAGTTTCCTTAAGTAACCATCTAATTCTTTGTTTTTTACTTACCTGAAGTCAATTTAAATTTTTGTTTTAGCTGTGATGTGCCCAAAACCCATGAACACATTTCCCAATATCAGAAAGACTTGGAGCTAACTCCTGGAACTAGATTGTTTTCCTTAATCATTAACCTACACCACAGTCTATACAAATCCTCAAGTAAAACTCTTAAATCCTAGCTGTGTGATGCTTCCTTGTTCTTATTGTCTATCCTCTGCAGCCCCTGCTTTATCAGGGACGGGACAACACCTTATCCTACTTTTACCTGTATTAATGTTCAATCATAATTCCTTACTACACTTGTTTAAAACCTTGAATTATCAAAATTCTATTTAAATTAATACTATTATTTATAAAATCATAGCTTCAGTTGAAAAGTTCCGCTTGAGAGGAAATTGTCTTCACAATAATCTATAGATTAAAATGCCCAGCAGAACAAGAGATTTCTATGAGATAATCACACTACATTAAAGGCAGTGGGGAAACCCCACACCCATTCACACCATGCTGGAAACCAGAAGAAAATGCCTTTGCTGTATGTAAAGGCACGCAGTAGCGTGAGGCATTCTGGAGCAGAAGCCCTCAGGGCCATAACTCTGAGATTCGCGCATCAGTGCCTTGCATTCTGGTGAGCCGACTCCTGACTCAGTTGCCACCTGTTGCTCCTCTGACATGGCCACCAGCATGGATCAAAATGTGGCTTGTCTGACCCCTCTTCTGCTGCCATCAAAGGAAACCACTGTGCTGTGCTGAGTCTTCTCATTGCCTCTCTTCTAGGTCCACTACATCCTTCAGGAGGTGGTGATGGGTGGGATGGTGTTGGAAACAAACATGAATGAAATTGTGGCTCAAATTGAAGCTCAAAACAGGCTGGAGAAGTCGGAGGTAAGAAAGTAGCTATACTTGTGTCCTGGCTGGGTAGAGAGCACTGGGCAGAGGGAGGAAAGTGTACCTTGTGTGACTTGTGTTTTTCTGGGTCCTTAGGGGGTGGTTCTCACTGTCTTTATTGATTGGTTCACATTAACTTGAAGGCTAGTATAAGCATTAAACAGGTAGGGCAATTTGAGATGTCTGGCTTAAAGGATAGGCAGATGGCAGAAAGAGCAAACAGCTTCTGGAATATAGTTACAGCCCACATTTCTGGTGCTTTTGCGCATCTGTTCTTCCAGAAGCCATATCTCATGGTATCTTTTAGTCTCTAGAAATTCGAGATTCCTTATTTTCAGTGAGGCTTCTATAAAACTACAATAATGTTGATTTGAAAATACCGTACCCAGCTGGGCAGTGGTGGCACACACCTTTAGTCTCAGCACCAGGGAGGCAGAGGCAGGTGGATCTCTGAGTTTGAGACCAGCCTGATCTACACAGCCAGGGCTACACAGAAAAACCCTGTCTCAAAAAAAAAAAAAAAACCAACAAAATAGAAAATACCATACCCACCCCATCCTCATGTGGCCAGGCTTGATGGAGGGGCTTGTGGTGAAGCCAGGCCTGTCCCACGGTGAGCAGGGTCAGAGGTGCACCTCCTCGCAGCTGCAGGAACAGTAGAGCGGTGACATCTCTGAGTGTCCTCGAGGGTCTCTTTGCTCTGTGTAATGGGACCTGGCTTACGGAACCAGGCGTTCTTCCTGTGAGGACTGCTAATCCTGTTGGAGAAGCTTTTCTAGTCACAGCTCTGGCTGCAGTTCTCTGAGGAGTGCAGACTGGGAAGTGAGTGCTTCCAGGCACAGTGAGTGAGTCAGGCAAGGGGTCTGGAAACCACAACAGCCGTGCAGGGTTGGGTGGAGTGGGAATGAGTGTCCTGGGAGCTGTCCTTTAGGGCACGATGAATTTCTGAGCACGTCATTTCTCCCTCTCCACTCCCGGGATGAGCCTGGGGGTGGTCACCCTCCTCTGTGTCTATGCAGCTTTCCCAGCGTTTGTGCTTCCCAGATGGTTGCCACATGACAGCTCACACTAGTTGGCAAGCAGGTGTCCTAAATCTGACGTTCTTTTTCCTTAACTTTGCGCTTTTCTGTGAGGCGGACTCTTGAGGAAAGGGTTTCATTTTGTTTTGCTTTGTAAATGGAGTATCCTCAGTACTTAAGACTTGGGTAAACCGTATCTGAGTCCCTCAGCAATCATTTATTGAGCATCTGCCATGGGCCATGAGCACTGTTAGATGCTGCGGCTGTAAAACTGCATCAGACACAGCCCCCTTTGCAGACCATGCAGTGGGGTGGAGGCAGAGGCTGTGGTTTCCGTGCCAAGCTCCAGCTATCTAAATGGGTTTTGTCCACCGCCTTTGAGGCAGAGGGATGTGAATTCTTCTGTGTGTGCTGTTCGGAATTCCTCAGATCTACATCATCTAGTTTAAGATTTAAACAGATGTCCCTGGGAAAGCAACTGACAGTCTCCTCCCCTTGTTCCCAGGGTGGCCTTTCAGCAGCCCCTGCAAGGGCCGTGTCTGCTGTGAAGAACATCAACCTTCCTGAGATCCCGAGGAACATCAACATTGGCGATCTCAACATCAAAGTTCCCAACCTGTCCCAGTTTGTGTGAAGGTGGAGGACTGGGCTGGACTGGGGTCCTTTCGATGAACGAAGCAGTCACATCCAGAACCAGAACCCTGCTGAGCCTTTAGAGACTTGGGACCCTAAGCCTTTCCCAGAGTGGGAAGGGAGCTGGTGCACACTGCCTGGCCATCCTGCTGCCCTCTGATACACATGGCCGTGGAGACATCAGTGCACTAAGCCACTGCTCCTTTGCCTCCCACACAAGCCCTCAGGGTTGGGGACTGCGGAACAAGCCACCTGCTTCCCAGGGCCTGACTTCCTCCCTTACACCTAGGACTTCTGAGATCCTGTATCAGTCACTGGGTAAGAGACCAGGGAGAAGGAAGGACCAGCCTTTCAGATGTCAGGTGTGGCGAGTGGTAGGTGGTGCAGGGTGCGCTGGCTTCGCTAGGGCCTCTGTTCCTAGGATCCCTCTGTGTAGCCAAGCCTTTGGTCAACAGTTGCTGCAGAGTACACCTTCCCCAAGGACACAGTCCCAGTTTCGTTGTCACCGGCCTCTGTGTGCTGGGCACAATTTAAATCATACTTTGGGTGCATGTCACTACCCCTGCCAATAGGGAGGGTACTCCTACACACACACACACACACACACACACACACACACACACACACACACACAGCCCTCTCTCAGATGAGAGACTGCTGTCTGTAGAATATGAAGGTTGGATCCTCCCAGAGTTATGACTCGTCCCAACTTGGAAATATGCTGTCTTCCTGGAAGCAGAAGGTTCAGTGACTGTGTTGTGAATGATGAACCATTTCCCCTTGCTCAGAAGCCCGCTGTCCAGTCTCAGCTTCTAGAGCTGAGAGCCTGAACTAGGTGCTGTGTGGGCTGAGCCTGCAGCATGCTAGCCACACTGCTGTGTATTTCCACTCTGCGTCCTGCAGTGAGCACACTGGACTCCTTTGGGCAGCATTCTCCTGCACTTCTGGAAACCTGTAAACGTTAACACGTGCTGAGTCTTCTTCTTGTGCCTGGTTTGGAGTTAACGCTGCGGGGGCAGGCCCTCTTCTCCATGCCTCCAGCTGCATCTCAGCCCAGGACCTCCTCCTGCTGGCCAGACCCCTAGTCCCTCTCCCACTGCCTTGGGATATTGTTGATGATCCTAGAGAACCATGTGTCAGGACCCAGGGGTTCTCATTTTCCCATGAGGCTTTGCATTCTACCCCATCGCTGCCTACAGCGTCTTGTCCCCATCCTTCCAGTCTTCTATTGGCGCGGCAGTAAAGGGCAGTTTGCTGGAGATGAGACCTGAGACAAAATCTAATGCCTAATCCCTAATGCTCTTGAAGCATTTATTTTTATTGTTATTTTATTGCCATTTTAGTACATTCAGGCCTCTTTTGCAATGGCTGGATATGGAGTAGGAATGAAGAAACCGCATCTGCTGTAGAATGACATGAGCAAGATCCATAACAGTCTTAGCCACAGACATTTTATTTTCTTAAGGTTTATTTTGAAGCCGGGTGGTGGTGGCGCCCAACTTTAATCCCAGCACTCGGGAGGCAGAGGCAGGCAGATCTTTGTGAGTTCGAGGCCAGCCTGGTCTACAAGAGCTAGTTCCAGGACAGAGAGACCCTGTCTCAAAACAAAAAAAAAAAAAAAAAAAAAAAAAAAAAAAAAAAAAAAAAAAAAAAAAAAAAAAAAAAAAAAAAACAAAAAAAAAAAACAAAAAAAATTTTATTTTGAAGCTAGGCAGTGGTGGCACACCCACCCAGTACTCCAGAGGCAGAGGCAGGCAGTACAATGTATACATAATAAATAAATACATCTAAAAAAAAAAGATAAAAGAAATACTCTCAGACACTTATAAAGAGAGGTTTGATTTTTTTTTAAATTTATTATGTATATAGTGTTCTGGGCACCAGATCTCATTACAGATGGTTGTGAGTCACCATGTGGTTGCTGGGAATTGAACTCAGGACCTCTGGAACAGCAGTCAGTTCTCTTAACCTCTGAGCCATCTCTCCAGCCCCAAGGTTTGATTTTTTTTTTTTTAAGAGATAGCCAGCCTAAGAGCTGGAGGGTCCTCTGGAGATGAGGCTACCTGGAGTGTGTCTTGTTGAGGGCCACAGTGTTCTGAAGTGTGCTTGCTATTGACTGAGGCACCATTGAGTGGGAAGAACTGGGATTTCAGGTAGTTTAGATTTCAGCCGTTCGCCTGCTGGAAACAACTTTGTTCTCCAAAAACTATGGCCTGGCACTGTCGGCTGCAAAAGCAAGCACCAGACAATGGGTTGCACCATCCCCTTTATAGTGTGGATTTGGACTTGGAAAACTCCATTCCTCTAGTCATCCTAGAGGGATTAGTTGGTTAGTTAGTTAATTGCTAATGACTTGCAGCTAGCTTGTCAGCTATCAACAAAGCCATAGTCTGAGATCAAACTACCTCCCTCTCTTCTATGTGTTTTGAGACAAGGTCTCACTTTGTAATATAAATTCTCAATCCTCCTGCCTCACCTCCAAAATTCTGATATTACAAGCGTGTACTCCGTGCTCTGTGTACTTTCCCGTGGAGTAGTTAAGGGAAGTCCTTGGTCTTTTTGGAGAGGAGTGTCCCCTTTGCTCTGAGACGTTAGTTATGCAGCCAGGGACTGGGTTTGTGTTTGCTTTGGGATCCTGGACCTGGAGAATTTACACTGAGGCTTCCCAGGTTTTCTCACTGCCACTAGTTAAACTGGAGCCCTCCCACTGCCCATGTTCTGTGTACATGCTCCATGAGGTCAAGCTCGGTCCTCAACTGAGAGAGAGGCTCTCTGTGCTCCACTGTGAGCTTCCCTAATGATGCTCTCATGGTTGGGCCATGAGCATCTGACTGGCAGCTTGGAGCCGTGGACTCGGTGCTTGCTGTGTGGAAGATTGAAGGACATTTCCACCCCTGACTCACCAGGGTCATGCTGGCTCTACAGGGCGCTGGACAGATCACTTCCTCCAAGCCTGACCATGGCCCCATACTTGTTACATTGAGGATATCCTGAGTCACAAGCCCAGAATATCCATGCTCTACCACATACAGACCCAGCCCTCCCTCACCACTAGAGAGGCAATCTAGCTATTCTCCATGACCTCAGCTTCAGAAAAGAAACCAGGAGAAATGGCTCAAACCAGGTCCCTGGCCCAGTCTGTGGCCTGGCCTGTCCATGTCTTTTTAGAGAGGACTCGGGGACAGGTACCTGAAGTAAAGACTCAGAGTAGGGTCATGGCCACCTTTGCGCCCATCAGATGTCCTGGATGCCCACTGCTCTCAGTGCACTGATCACCCAGAGTGAGCTAGCTCTCTGGGAGCTGCCAGGCTAGGCCTCACCTAGGTCCAAACCTCAAGGTCAAGTGTTGACCTTCTCGGAAGTTCTAAAGTGCTCTTCCCCTGCACCTTCTGGCAGAGTGGCTGTTGAGGAAATAGCAGCTCGATGCAAATGATTAATCCTTCCCAGAGTTCTTTTTCATTTCAGTTTTTCCTTTCCAAATAGGAAAGATATTCATGTAGGTCAGTATTTTTATATGGGGAGCGGAGGTGCCCTCAGAAACCAGAAGGCATTAGATTTCTTGGAGCTGGAGTTAAATGGTTGTAAACCGCCTGACTTGGGGTGCTGGGAGCCAAACTTAGGGTCCTCTAGAAGAGTAGCAAGTGCTCCAAACTGCTGAGCCATCTCCAGCCCCATGCAGGTCGCAGTTTAAGAAAACAAGTTCAGCAAAAGACTCAGCCTCTCCCCAGCCTCTGAGCAAAAGACTTATCCCCGCCCCAGCCCCTAGAGCTGTCCTGACAGCAAGGGCTTGCAGTTTAAAGGCGCGTGAAGCACGCATCCTTTCTTGGCTTTCTAAACTGAGGACATAGCTGACCTCAGTCCAGTTCAGTCCTGCTATCCTCCAGAGGGGCAGAGTCTGTTAACACATGTGTGCACACACACACCCATGTGGAACAGCAGCTCCCAGCCATTCTCAGCCTTCCTATTCCTCAAGGCCCCAGAACACCTTGTCTTTAAGTTGTCTGTTTCCTCTTGGGATGTAAACCCTCAAGGGCAGGGGTCAGCCTCCTACCCAGTGCTGTGCCCCAGCTGCTCTTCCCCAGTGCCTCGTCCATATTCAAGAACGCTGGGTGAGTGGGTGGCCGAGGAGAGCAGCAGTTCATCCTTACAGTCTCTCTGCTCTGTGCTTACTAGGACTGAGATGTGGGGGTCGGAAGGCCTATTGCTGCAGGTGGAAGATAGCAAGGATTGTATTGAGAGGATAGAATACAGGCATGTTAAATTGGAGTTGCCTGGGGGTAATCCCCGCTGGTGAACGAGTGGACAGGAGACTGGTTGGTCCATCCCTGAGGTATATGGAGTTGTTTTTAATTGGGCCTGTAGGCTCAATTAGAGTGTAAGGACCCCCTGTTTTCTTTGAGAAATAAGATCAAGAACAAAGTGACAGGCCCAAGTGATGAGAATGAATGACAGACTGGAAAGGGAGAAGAATGACTGTAAGGGAGTTCCAGGTACAGGTGTCAAACACGGGTACCCAGGTCCCTCAGACTGAGAGAATGCTCAAGGTCCAGATGCTCCCCTGTTTATAACGGGGTTTTGTCGCTATAAAGCCATCACCATTTGGAAATGCCCTCAGTGGAAAGCAACTGAACGGCCTATGCAGCTCAGCCTGCTGTAGGACCACAGTCTAGTGATCCACATGGAGCTGTGGGATACATGGGGCTGTCGCTGCTGCCACTGCCCAGCCTCAGAGAAGATTAATCCGCACATTACTAGACCTGGCAAAATCCACACCTAAAGGACAGCTTCTGTGTGTACGGTTTTCACACAGCCTGACTTACCAACCATCATGATTAAGGCCCTGATCACAATGGAGGTACTGATTTGGGGGCTATGGGGCTATGGGTAGTAGATTGACCTTAATGGGAGACACACAGGTCACTGCATCTCAGTTCTCTGTTGTCCTGGAAGAGACAAAGAAAAGCCTGTGGTTGCTCCTGTGGCTTTGTTGGTCGGCATGCCTCTTACCCAATTGTTTTTGCAAGAGGGACAAGTGCCTTCCCACAGCAGACCTTTGCAGTTGGGGTCATGAGCTACAATGCCAGGGTGTTTTCTCACCATGAGAGCAGCCCCCACCCTTCTCCAGCCTCAAGTGCAGGGCACCGGGCAGGTGACCCCCTTTCACCTGGTTCTAGCTGCCGGCTATCTGAGCCACACTCCCTGGCCAGAGATAGCAACGTTGGGCCTATGGCGCAACCCTTTTCCTGTTAGAGCAATGGTTTCCACACCAAAGCAGTGTTTGAACCACCAACTTTGAAACTAGCTTTTCTGGATCTTGCATTGCAGGTTGAAGGTTTGGCTAGCCCCACCCCACGACTGTCCCTGAGGTAGCTTCCATCTTGTGTTTGATTCAGGTCTTTGGGGACATACTTAGGAGCAGTCATGTCCTTCCCTTTTATTTATTTTTTTTATTCAAAAACATGTTTTAAAAATTCTGGGTGGTAGTGGGGCACACCTTTAACACCAGCACTCAGGAGACAGAGACAGGTGGATCTCTGTGAATTCAAGGCCAACCTGGTCTCCAGAGAGAGTTATAGGACAGCCAGGGCTACACAAAGAAACCCTGTCTCAAAGCAAACTAACAAATCTTCAAAACAAACATAGATATGTCTGAGTGGCTCGGCTGCTTCCAGATATGGGACTTGGGCGACATCCCTAACCTCTGTACCTGTGTCCTCATCTGAGAAATGGAAATGATGCAGCTCCCTGTGCGAATCAACACCCTCAGCACAAACAGAAGACCCAGTCCAGGAACAGAATTAAAAACATTCATTTTTGCATGGAGAACTTTTGGCTTTATTTTGCTGTTGAGACAGGGTCTGTCTATGTAGCCCTGGCTGTCTTGGAACTCTGAGACTCAGTGCTGGCATTGCCAACACCGGACCTGAGGGCCACGGACAGAGGCAGAATGCCAGCAGGCACTTTGATCAGTGCAGGGCCAAGCCTGGTAGCCAGGAAGTAACAGGAGGCCGGTCCTGAGCACATAGGGTGGGGAGTGTGCCCCGTGTGGAAGAACCAAGATGGCTGTCACAGGCCTGCAGAAGATTGGAGTCACCACTCATCCGGGATGCCCAGGTGCAGCTGATGGGGCCCACCCAAGTGTGTGCACTGACCCCACGACTCAGGGAGGCCAAACTGGTTCATGTGGTTCAGAAGATGTGGGCAGAAGGACAGGTGCATTGCGCATGCTCCTCAAAGCCTGGGACATTGCACAGAGTTCGAGTTTCCTTCCTGTTGCCTTGGCCAAAAGCACCTTAGGAGGAGAAAGGATTTATTTGTTATACTTCTAGGTCACAGACCGTTGTTGAGGGAGATCAAGACAGGAATCAGAAGCGGAAACCATGAAGAAACAGTACTTGCTCAGATTCAGTCTTAACTAGCTTTCTCTCTTAATTTTCCAAGACTTTCTCTGTGTAGCTCTGGCTGTCCTGGAACTCAATCTGTAGGCCAAGCTGGTCTCGAACTCAAAGATCTGCCTGCTTTTGCCTCCTGTGCTGGGATTAAAGGTGTGTGTGCCACCACCTCCTGTTTTAACTAACTTTCTTATACAACCCAGGACCACCTGTCTAGGAATGGTATCACCAGCAGTAGGCTGGGTCTTTCTTTTCCAATTGGCAATTGACACACACACACCCAACACATACACCAAACCAAAAACATTCCAGGCAGTGGTGGCATACACCTTTAATGCCCAGTACTCGAGAGGCAGAGGTAGGTGGATTTCTATGGGTTCGAGGCCAGCTTGGTCTACAGAGGGAGTTCCTGTCTTGAAAAACAAAACAAAATAACAACAACAAACAAACAAGCAAACAAAACAAAAAGCCACGCTCCCAGATCTAGTCAATTCCTCCGCTGAGGCTGCCATCTCAGGTGACTAGGCTGCGTCGAGGACAAGGACTAACTAGGCTAACTAGAACACCACAGCACTCGTCCACATGGAGCAAGTCCTGGATCTCTCTGAAGGCAGGCTACCTGATCCCAAAGGAGCAAGTCACAGCTAACCACGGTGCCTCATTTCATGGAGCCCAGAAACTGGTGCTCAAGCCTGCAGACTCTTGGGAGAGGCAGAATCAGATTTGCCCAAGGCCAAGTTTCATTTATTTCCTCCTTGGAGACTGGTGGGATGGATCTCTGGGGCCAGAAGTCAGGGAAGGGTGTCTTCCGAGGGTGAGCCAGCCAGGCACAGTGGAGCTCCTACAGGGCAGAGCTCTCTCTTCTCTTGTTCACTTGTTCTTTTGGGCGCTCGTGTTCTGAACCTTCACTCAGTTCTCCATTATAATCTGTCTTTTTCTGTAGGCATGCTATACTTCAGGTGGGGGAAAGAAAAGGCGACCAGCAGACTTGGTGATGAACAGCTATATTGCCCTGCACCCAGAAGACTGGGGCAGGAGCATTGCTCCAAATTTGAGGCCAGCCTGGCCTACATCAGACCCTGTCTCAAAATATACAGCTTTGTGGGTGGAAAACCAATCTGTAAGAAGCATTTGGGGTGGCGACTGACTGGTGGGTGAGCTGAAGAAGTGTCAGCCCGTGGACGTCAGTGTCACTAATGCCATAGTCTCACTGCACCCTTTCAGGAGGCTGGAAGGGACACTTGTGTTCTCGGGAACCTTGAATACAGAGCTCTCAGCTCAGGGGCTGGAGGGTTCTGTTCTGGGGGGACGGGGATGAGGAGAGGACTCTTGGCGGGGGGAGCACAGCTCAATGGCCCCCCGAGGGCTTTAACCAACCCCTCCAGGGCGTGCCTTGGGCTGAACCAGGAGCAATGCACAGCGCCTGGAGCCAGAGGCCGGACAGACCTCATTGCTCACTGCTCACCTCGGCCCCTTTGTGCAGCTGCAGTGGAATATTAGACTGGGCCGTGGATAATAAAGACCAGGAATTTGGAACACCTGGTCTCCTTTCTTGGCTTTCTGGCCCACCGCAATAGGAGCAAGCATCCTCCTACTGCCACTGATGGGAGCCGAGCTGTCCCAGCAACAAGTCCCTTGCCCTCTTCCACAATTCGCAAGGAGTGTGTCCCCTGAACCATGAGCTAAAACAAACCTCCGTATCTAATGCAAACAAACCGCAAACAACAAACACACAGACGAACACAATTTTCCCTTTTTCTTTTCTGGAGTCTGGGAAGTCCTCCGTGTTACATGGTCATGATCCCATGGCAGAAGGTGGAGGGGCAATCAGTTTGGAACAAAGACACTCCCTCCACAACCACACCACTCCAGTCCTGAGTGCTCAGTGCTCTCACAGGTCCTGTCCCCAACATCGCTACCCTGGGGGTGAAGTTTCCAGCTCTTGGTCTTTGCAGGCTCTGGGCACAGACTACGGTCCCCAAGATGGGAGAACAAGCTCGAGGCTGCAAGGGGGGTCTGCAGGAGGCCCAGAGGGCCTTTGACCTCCCCTGCAGCCTGCCTCCCAAATGCCAGGGTGACAGGCAGGCACAGCCATGTTCGATTCTGTTTTCATTCTTACCCTTGACTTCTGTGCAGAGAGTGGATGGAAAGAGAAAGGAAAATGTCTCGGAGTGCAATCAGGAGCACGTTCATGGTGGCCCTGGTCAGGTCGGAGCCGGACAGCAAGAAGCAAGGCTTGTAGCACGTGTAGGGCTAGAACTGGCGGGACTTGGGAAGTGTCACGGTATAGAGGGAAGCCGAGGGCAAGACCTTGGTGACCAGCGAGTAACAGGGGCCTGCTTAGAGTCAGGCGGGATGACATGGGTGCACCCTGAGATCAGAAACAGAGTAAGATGAGGCTAAGAGAGTTTCGGGGGGTCTGGGAGTATTCGAAAGGACATCTACGGAGACTGGTGAGGACCCAGGGACTGCAGTGCCCAGGAAGAACATGGCTTAAGGGAGGCCACTGCGTGCTAGGCCGCTTGCTCAGACAGCCTCAGGTCAGGAGAGTTTGGGGCCTTGATAGAGCGTGCTCTCTGAAAGAAAAAGAAAACAGGGGCAGGGACCATTTACTCTTTCCTGAGTTAGGACTCTAGAGTGCTGTGAGAAGGATTACAGGAAGGAAGTCCTGCAACTGCCCCAGGGAGGGCCTTCTGGAAGGGCAAGTGACTGTATTATCTCCCTAAGGGGGGTGTGTGTGTGTGACTAGTTTTCCCTCTCCCTAGCCTGTCTTCACCAGCTTTCCTCAGGGATGCAGTCCTGGCCTGGTGAGTGATTGACAGGCCAGCTGGATTAATTCTTAAAGGAGACAACGGTGTGTCATGTTTTAAGTATTTAAAATGTCAAGTTGCTACCCAGGCTGTCAGTAGAACTCAGGTGCGATTCTTCTGACCAAGAAAGAGGAAGAAACAAGAAGCGGTTCCTTTTCTACAGGGTTTCTGTATAACAGCCTCAGCTTACAGAGTAAGCCTGGAAAATTACTTTGTAGACCAGGCTGGCCTTGACCTCACAGAGATCTGACTGCCTCTGCCTCCCGACTGCCTCTGCCACCATCACCTGGCTAAGAAGTCCTTCGTTAATGGGCCTCAGCAAAGGCCAGACACTCCACCGTATGGTAATTTAAGCCCTACGAAGCAGCCTCTGCTCAGAGTGTTACCAGGGAAACAGGAGATAGGGTGTCCATCTCCAGTGGCCCCCAGGTCTGCTACTATCTTTCTAGCTACATAACACTAGGAGTCCGCGGAAGGACGAGGGAAGCGGTTGCTGTGAAGTGGGTGTACAGGGTAGACCATGGCCCGAGATGAACATAGGTAGTCTAGCTGACCAGCCGCTGCCAAAAGACTTTGGCCCCTGGGGAAGAGGCAGCTCCGCCTGGTGTGAAACAGAGTGTGATCTCTGTCAGCTCAAGGAAGGTTGAGGAGTACTGTTGAGGAGTGGGGAGGCAGCTGAAGTAAGCATTATTGCTGTTCCCATCTTACCCCAGTCAATGTTTGGACAGTGATAGGCCACTGCTTGGCCGGCTTCCGTTGGTGGCAAGTGTACATAAAGGAGGCGTGCCAGTTCTCCAGAGACACCTTCAGGGTCAGAGCATGATGCAAGGGTCCCTTTATTCCTGCCAGGCAATGGGCCGTTCCCCAGATAAGAGTTGTTCCTTCAACCTGGGTCCTGGAGTGCAGGTGACATGGCCCAAAACCGTAGCCACTGATGACATCACGGAATGTGAACAAGGAGGAAACCTCAAGAACTGGAGCCGTTTGTTACCAGGTGGATCTCTGTGAGTTCGAAGCCAGCCTGGTCTACAGCATGAGATCCAGGACAGGCTCCAAAGCTGCAGAGAAACTCTGTCTCAAAAACCAAGAGAAAGAAAAAGAAAGAAAATGCCAACTATCCCCTCGTGACAGGGGATGGCTGTCTGCCTGGAGGGACTGCAGAGGGTGGACACTGAATATGCTTGACATGGCACCTCGCAGCACCAGTATGTAATGTCGGACTTGCAAACTTCCAACGTGACTTTATGCCAAAACAGGTTGATAAAACTAGTTTGGGCGGCCGGGCGGTGGTGGCGCACGCCTTTAATCCCAGCACTCGGGAGGCAGAGGCAGGCGGATCTCTGTGAGTTCGAGGCCAGCCTGGTCTACAAGAGCTAGTTCCAGGATAGGAACCAAAAAGCTACGGAGAAACCCTGTCTCGAAAATCAAAAAAAAAAAAAGGAAAAACTGGTTTGGGCACAGGCTGGAACCAGGGCTAAGTAAGACCTCTTCGCCCAGGCCCTTCAGAATTCTCTTTGGTTTTTGTTTTGTTTTAGGTGTTCGTGTGTGTGTGTGTGTGTGTGTGTGTGTGTGTGTGTGTAGCATAAGTGTGATCTCT